CCTTATTCCTCATCATCTGACTCATCTTGCTGAATAAGGTCCTGCAACACAGGACAACATATCCTTTATATTAAAAGTGTAGATATGTTTACAGCTGGGTATTCGGCCGAAGTTCAGAAACAAATGGAGTCGGCCGGAACTAGCACTGATGAGATTAAGGTCGATTTTAGGCTATCTGTGCTCAAGCCCTTACAAGCCACCTGGCTGGTATGCCTTTACGACCAGTTGACAGGCAGTATGGGAAAGCGGCACATTGCAAAAGGATGGAGCATAGCGGAAATATCCGAACTTGTTCAAGGGAAGACAACCTTATCTCCTGAAGGTCCATTGGAAAACGCTGAGGCGATCATTATGCCATCGAGTTAAATAGCGCCTCCGTTGCTTATATCAGTCTGTTGCGTTTCTATTCCATTATGATCAAATCAAATGCAGAAATGGAAGTTTAAAAAACGAGTACCATTGTACTTGATTCGCGAAATTTAATTACCTTGAGAAACGGTGATTCGACAAAATCGCGAAATTTAAGTGCCGCGAAATATTTCGGTTCTAAATTCGCGAAATTAAAGTCGCGCGAAAATAAGCGATATTAAGGTACTAGTTGTTTAAATACTTACTAAAACAGTCAGCTTTTTGAAAGACATGCGGACACTTTTGGATTCAGCGCTAAGTGTTCTTAACTTTAAGTACACTGCTGAGGTTGAGTCGGTTCGAGTCAAGGGGATGCCACAAGGGTTTGGGAATGGGGATGCCCGAAATGCGGAGATGCCGATATGACTGTAACACCGGCAAGGAAAACTGAAAAGACTAAGGAACAACAGGGACTTAAAACAATTAAAACTAACTTAAGTTAATTTATACAGTAAAACCTCCTCCTTTGGGAAACCCCCATTCAGGGGACACAAAATTTGGTCGTCCCGGAAACTTGTTTACATTCAGTGTAATCTTTGTACCTGTTGCCTCCATTGAAGGGACATCTCTATTCAAGGGAAAGGGACACTTTTTCTGGTTCCCAAATCCCAGGTTTAACCTCCATTCAGGGACATTTGGTTCTTTCCCCAGGGGTGTCCCCTGATCGAAGGTTCCACTGTAGTAATTAGTTTTATTTTTCATAGGATCAAACAATATAGAGACGTACACCGACAAAACACCTTTTAAGTAAAGTAAACACGTTTTGAAATGCCGCCCTGTGTAAACCCGTGATTAAGAACTCCATTGATTGATGAAAATTAATTGACTCCAAAAATGATACTTAGTCTGCTGGGTTTTTGTTCTTCAATCAGCGACAAAGATAAATTCTTACACTAAAATTCAAATGAAGCTGTCAAAACTAAATATCTAGCAAGCATGTTGTTTACCTTCTTAATTTTCAAACGTCTCGCAAAGTAAATATTTTTTGGACATTTTACATTTGTTCACGAGGTTTCTAGGCAACGAGTTCAACGACGTTGCCTCGCCAGTTTACCAAGATTACAGGGTCAGGTCATATCTCTATCACAAACACTCAACTACGTCTCGCAGCGGAATTGAAATGCATGTAACTAATCAGCTCACTGCTCATAAACCGCAGAAGAAAACATCTACTCTAACTTGAATTGACCCATCAGAAGTCTAGTCCTGTGTCAACACAGGGCCACGTGCTTATAGAATCCCAGATATGATTTTTGTTGTGTTAATAATTAAACTTCATTTGATTTCACAAAAAATCACTCAAAATCGGGACAAACAGAAAAGAACCAATTTGTGAATATGTAGGGACTAGTAGTTTAAAATTCAAGTATGAATTATTTACCAAAACTAAATGAAAGCTGACTATACTGTACATTCCTGGGTGGTCAAACTTTGGGGTATCTTTGATGTACATATATTTGCATAGTAAACAGTACTACAGGAAAATGCTGTTTAGTGGTTTTTTCCCTCATCCACAAAACCCTTAAGGAGAAAAAACCTTAAACAAAAAGTAAAGCGGAAAACAAAAAGCAACCGGAAACTAGTAACTCAGTACGCGAGAGCTTCTACAATTTTAATCGTACGCTGAAAATTCGAGTCCCATTTATTGATTGTAAATCCCGGAACGGGAATATTCTTTTGACATTAATGACCGATAATAGTAAAATTCACCGAACATACGTTTTAGCTTGTTACATAAAATACTTTATACATATATCGCCGATAAGTTTCTTTGCATGTCGGGGCATGCATGTTTTTGTACAAAGCTCTTGTTTGCATGTGTTGAAAAGTGGGAGTGGTCCTTTTTTTCTATCACATTTCGACTTATGCGGGTCTACATAAAACATAACAACAACACTACGATAGGTCAGTTAAAGAACTACTAACATGAACGTACAGAATTGAATTCAGTTGCAAAAAAGAATAAAGAACGCTTAACACTCACGTCCAACTTGAGCAGCCAGGAGCCCTAACAGTATACAAAAAAACGCCCGTTTTCTTGCCACATCGTAGGCTACATAACTCGGTTGTTCAGAAAAAGTAGGCATCCTCATCTGTAAGAAAACAAGAAAGCGGGAAATTCAGTAGCTTTCAGAAGACATAGTTACCCTAAGTTATCAACTAAATCTCATCTAACTATAGCTACGTTTTAGATACTTCTTAGCATTCAGTTATAAGGCGTAAGGTGGACTTAAAAGGTATAAGCTCAAACATAAATGTTGAATAACAATAAATACTTGTGAAATGAAGCATTGACAAATGATATATATGTACAACTAGAAAACTCAAAATTGAAATTGGTAGCAGAGAAACGCCGTTTTTGCCATAACTGAACCTCCGAGCCAGAACGGAATTATCTGACCAAGAAACGACCAAAAAAGTTCGCCCACACTAGCGTTCCAGTAGACATTCCATTAAACTATCTAATCATATTGGAGTGAGGCTTGTAAATTAAACGTAGGATCCACGCCGACAACCTCAAGTAACTGATAGCCTTTCTTCTTTTATAACTGACTTGATCGACTTCTTCCGTAGAAGTGCTTCAGCGTCAATAAACTAGTATTCTGTTCGTCTCCTTTCAAGTTTTAATTTAATTGAGTTGTTTACCCTTCTCTATTGTCTGTTGGCTTGATTGACCTCTTCTGATTGACAGGGAAGAGCCCAGAAGAGTAACACTTCTTTACTCAGCAAAATTCTCGAAGATTCAGGAGACAGAACCTTCAAATCCCAGAAAATTTTCAGGTCGACTGCCGGCCGCCAAAACACTAAATGACCTGCAGTCTACCCTGTTAGCAGACTCGCTTCGATCTTTCCTAGATAAGTCGGGAAAGGAGAAAGAGGAAAGAGGAAAGAGGAAAACGGAAGCTTAGAAAAGTTCTAAGTGTCACAAAACATGGTTTCGTTTTCTGAGACCAGCGTAAACCAAACGCTTACTTGAGATCTATAAAGCGTTTCAAGATTGCTTGACTTTTCTTAATCGACATCAATAGTTTAGATTAGATGAGTCAAGTAATAATTTTCTTTTACCTCTGTTAAAGCATTAATCTTTTTATTGCGGCTAAATAACCTTTCAAATAAGATTTTTTTGCCTTTCTGGGCTTCAATAAATGATCTCACACGCACACCTTCCTTCCAAATTGCCGTGTTTTCGTCCATGCCTTGCTTCTGCCTCCAACCTATGGCTGTCGCTGCTGTTATTCCAAATCGCTTGAGCTTGGTTTCATTATGGCTACGAGAGGGGCAACGATGATGATCGTGGAAATTGACTCGCCAACTTTTCCTTTGATTACGTTCATTATTCGTGGAAAGAGTAGAAAAATGAAGGTCTCCCGGAGCCCGTTGGAAGAATTGCGAAAACGTCTTGGCCTCGGCGAACCACAGGCAGCCCAAGCGCACTATGTGTGGGTTCGGGCTTCAGAGGTCATTTGGTCGGAATATACTAGAATTATTAGTCTATTATCTGATGCTAAATAAACGCAAAAATCTTAAAGATATGAAGTCTTCTTATTTGCCTATCTGTACTAGTAGCCTTTAAGATAACGAAGGTCGATATTTCTTGCATTATCACATATGATTCGGGCCCTTAATGTTCGAATTTTATCACATGTATTCGAATCTACAAAGAAAAATAAAAAAAAAACATGATCACGCGAAATATTGATTCAAAAAGCTCCGTTACCTTTAGTTCATAGCCACTCTGTGTCCTACGGCCGGTTTAAACGCCGTTTAAACGATAGTGTTCAGTACTCGATGGAAAGAAAGTCGACAAATAAGAAGACTTCATATCTTTAAGATTTTTGCGTTTATTTAGCATCAGATAATACACTAATAATTCTAGTATATTCCGACCAAATGACCTCTGAAGCCCGAACCTACACATAGTGCGCTTGGGCTGCCTGTGCATGTGCTAGTAATTAAGAGATTAAGTGCAGGTACTAGTAATAAATTATATTGGCTACGAAACTTATGCAACCACAACTCAGTGAAACATGGTTAAAAGAGAGAATTAGTGCTGTTTCAGACTTCATTGCTAGTATTCTGTCTTGTTTAATTCAAATTTTAAAATTGGGCAAACTTTCCTAAAGTTGATGGACTGAATCCAAGAGGAAATCGCCATGCGTCTAAAGTCGCAATCAGCAGATGATCAGTTGAGAAATAAATTGGGAAATTTCACATCGTACCTTATTACATTTATATACTTTTGCACCACTTAAATTTCACGATTTTGAAACAGTTAAAGTGAACATGCAAACAATAACTGTTGCAAACATAACAGGACACCAAAATTGAGTGACTCAAAAGTCTAAAATTAAGGTTTGTATAAAAAATTATAGTGGGTATCATGGACAATAAAATTGACTGTAAATAACAAAGTTCTTTTATTAAAGTTCAACATTAATATTGATGGTACATCATTTTCAAGTGAATTACCTTAAATGTACAGTAACTGTAGCTACATGTAATTAATAATATGAACAATAGAAGAAAATAACACCTTAAAAAAATTCTGTACGTCAGACACCATTTTAATGGAATAAATTTACTCTTGTTTATTAGTTGAAGACTGTCCTGACTTTATCCCAGCCTCGATTGAGTCCTTGATGGTAGCTCTCCAGCTGTAAAGGACACAGAATATCACACATACAATACGCTTCCCACATTTAGATGATGGCCACAAACAGCTGCTCATTCTTCATGAGTACAATTAACTGTAAATCCCTACCTCAAGTGATATTACATATTAAAGCTATCCTTGACCAAATAGCAAGAGAGATTAAGCATCCCGTTTACGACAAACGGCAAACGTGAATTTATACCACGTGACCAAGTTTTTCCTTTACTTGTCGTTTAACTGTTTATTATAACTTCACGAAAATCGGTAGATTCAGGCCAATTCTATTCATAAGAAAATTATTGTTTAAAGCTGTTTTTATCGCTCATTTCTCAACTTGAATCTGACATTTGCCATTTGCCGTAAACGCAATGCTTAATCTCTCTAATGTAGACGGTATTTGCACTGTCTATACGTATACTTCTACAGGACATAGAAAGTTGTCAAGGCTCAAGTGGAACCACAAGTCACAGGCGAGTGATTTCACTGCAAAAGTGGCTGTAATGAGGTTTAAAAAGTGAGATATACTGCCTAAGACCCTCTAGTTATTGACTCTTCAGAGATCGCCGGGTGCATGTAGGAAAGCAAAAAGTTGTGTGGGGAATTTGGCTGTAAATGAATGCTTCCAGAAGGGGGTGGGGTAGTTTTTTTCTCTCTTGTACACTATGCACAAAAGGAAATTGAAAACAAAAAATGAAAAAACATTTGGGGACAGACTAGGAGGTGTATGGACTGTGTCCTAGGACAAAGAAACATTTACTTAAAAAAGTGGATAAGTTGCTGTTTTAGAGCTTGGTTTCTAATAGTTTCAATGCAATTTTAGCAAAAATATCCTCAACCCAAAGCTGGCCAGCTGGTTTTCCCAACTATGCCTGGAGTGCTCTGATGCCCTTAGCAGGGACACCTCATGACTTGTATACACAGTTTCTTCACAAAGTGTCTCTGCTATAGCTTTGTTGCCTGCTTGCCTTTTCATGCTTGGTTTTTCCAACCCTCCGCCCTCTTCATTTCAGGGCTAGATAAGTATTGGCCAGTACATTGTAAGTGTTACACTGAACAGTTCAATGTGATGATGCTTGGCAGGGGCCCCTCGCAGGGTTGCTATGGATAACTCCTTCCTTGTGCTAGAGCAATTCTGGCCACACCAACTTTGTATGCACCAGCACCCAAGTTCATCTATTGGTGATTAGTTTAATACTAATATTATTATTGAAAATGGTGTGTGGAATATGGCCCATGCACGTTTCCCTTCCCCCTTGATTAACAGGGATTACTCAATTTATTATAATTATGACCAATGAGAAAAAAGGAAGAGGAATTTTTATAAGCATTCTAAACAAATAACTGTCTCATGACATGGGGCCTTATTCCACGCAAACCATTAGATTATTATTGGTTATCACACCTGCCCTAGTAGCATCTGATAGGCTGCGTGTAGCTTGTCCATGTCTTCTTCATGAAGATCCTCCTCTCGTTTAATCTGTACACAAAGATTTAAATAATTTATCAATAATAATTATTATTTATTAGCTTCCAAATGAATTCACACTCAAGTACATTAAAAAAACACCTATGGGGAACTGCCCTGCTGCTCTTCTCATGAAAGGACAATATTATTTGGAACCAGAAAATACAGTAAAATCCACCACTAAGAAACTGCATTTTCTCAGTTAGTCCATTTACAGGTTAGTACATAAATAATGGTAATTAGCACAAATTTAGGCTATGTAGGTTCTAAATATGTTCTTATTTTTGGAAGAAAACAAAAATGAAGCTAAGAGTATTTAGTGGTATATTCAGCTTATTCCTTGTATAAAAATGTATGCCATTACTTTGCACTTGAAGTGACAAGACACCTATGTCTCCAAAGAGAATTCTGACTGTTGATTTACACCATAGAAGTAATGATCAATTAAGGGCTATGGCACTTATTTCCTTTTGCCCTGTTAAAGGTGCGGTGCTTAATCGAGAGGGGCATGGCACTTATAAGTTATTTTAAAAAGGTGTGGCAAAAACTATATAATTATATATACAAGATTGAAAAAAAAATGTTGTCGCTTGAAATTTTAAGTATAAACAATGAACGATGGGACCTCATGGATTTCTGGGTAGAACTTTATTAGCATTGCAAATTTAAAGTCCTTTTCAGAAATGTTTACATTATTGAAGCTTCTTGCGTCGATGCATATCCAAAAAATGTCAAACAGTTTCTAGTTTTTGTGACGATAAGCTCACAACTTCACCTGTGCTGGACACATAAGAGATGTTAACAGTTAAAGAGTGTGGCCATGTTGCTAACACACACCTGAAAATCATAAGATAGGACCTAAAGGCTATCTTGGAAGGGAAAAAAGAGACTGAAAAGACAATGGCATGCCTTAAACAGAGTACTCTAGGGATTTGCATCCACACGAGCATCTCATGACAATGTAAACTTTTGTCAAAAGAACTTTGAATTTGCTTTGCTAATGAACATAATTATTATACTCATAAATCCTTGAAACCTCATCATTCATGGTTTATACTTTTTAGTGACAACATTTTCAATCAGGTATATATTTGAGTAGCACCACTTAATCGATCATTCACAGTATCTGCCCAATAATAATTTATTATTGTACATAATTTCTTTTGATAGCTTTTAAAAGAAAAGAACCTGTTTCAAGTTTTAGGCTAAACAGGTTCTTGTATAGAGGGCCTAACTGTCAAAATTTAGCCAAACAGGTACTCTGGTTCTTAATCATGATTTTTACCGTATAGCAGGACAAATGTGTATTATAAAGGGGAAATTTATACCATAGCACACTGCACATTTGTCAACTACATTGTGATGCAACCTGGCAAATAATATTAATTAGTAAGATCCAACTAGTGGTCTATTAACAATGCTGCATTCTGATTGGTTGAGCTACTACTAGGCTATATGTTATAGCCCACTAGTAGCAAAAAGCGCCGGCTTTTTGGCGGCAAAAAAGGATTAAAGTCTAGCTTTAACTAGCTAAAGTTGTTTTGTCTCAATAAATTTGACTAGTTGGATTTTAATAAAACAATAATTTATTATTCCTCTCACCCTCATGGCCTCTGAGTCAATAGCCCATTATTAATTATTCCTCAGAGCCCATTTGGGCTCGAGGAATAAATTATTGTTAAATATTATTCTAATATAATATAAAGTGGAACTAAAGGCAAAGCATACCATCTCTGACAGGCTGTTCATCTCATTGTTCAATTGCTCCAGGTAATTATCTTTCTCTGCTATATTTTTTGTTAAATGTGTTTGCTCCCTAAAACAGAAAAGTTTTTAACTGGTTATGTATATTATTTTATGTAAAATAATATTAATTATGTTGCCTTGAATATATTGTAAAGGTGTTGGGGTACGCAGTACATGCCAACAGCATTGCAGCACTTACATGCGTGTAAACTGAGCGCAATATGGCGGATATACACACAAAATACACATCTGTGAAATTTTACACGAACATTTACACACAGCTTAAATTACACGCAAGATGCTTGTATTTATCATAAGACAAATTTCCTCTCTTACTTTTACACACAAGTAGCATTTTTTTTTAAACAGCAGATCTAACAGAAATCGTAAGATGTTGATCAATCACAGTCTTTTCACATTTTAAATTTCAGTAGGAATATTAAACACATCTTTATTTAAAATGGCAATAACTTTGAATCATGTTTTTCACATTCAAAACGGCTTTATTACAGTAATCTATGAAAGAATATTTTTGTAAGTAAGAACTGAAAAGTTATTCATACACTGTAGTCAGCAATGCACTGTGTGTTTTTGTTTAGTTGGTCACTACATGATCATTTGTATATGTATCAATAAGATATAGTCGCCAATATTTTTGTGCCCCCCGAAAAAATTGGTCTCTGCAAGTGTTTATTAGGGACTTTAAGATCCAACAACGCGAAGGCCACAAGAACATCGCTTAAAAATGTGTGTTTGCGTTCTTTCAGTCTCATAGCGATTATTCGTACCCAATTACTTTGTCAAATGTAGGCAAACACTCCTGAAGCTGAATTTCAAGGGACCATATCCAAGCTCAGAAAGAGAAATAAAATTTTGTTGTTGCTTGCTTATGTCCTCCATAAAACACGAAATTAGGCATTTTCGCGTCGTAGTCATGCAAAAACGGGAAAGGAATGTAGCTAAATGTACAAAAAAGTGTGATGCTCGTGCAAAGCTGTTGTTTTGCTTATAAAACCTAGTGTTTTTTGATGTTCTTGTCGCCGTCCGCATAGTTGGATCTTAAAGTCCCCATTATTAGGGTCGATTTCCAAATATTATCAAAAAATGCACTTCACTTTTGTCACCAAAGAAAATCTTCAGATGGGAAAAGAATTTCTAGACTGTCTGATCGGTTGCCCAGTTTCTATTGCACTAAGTTGTGGAAACTAGCTTTTCGTCATTTTCTTTCAGTAAGGAATTTCTTGTGAATTTGCTTAACCAATGAGAGAAGTTGTGCATGCATGTACATGTCGGTACCTTTGTAACTGATCACTTGTATCATGTGAAGCAGCAACCTTTCTGTCATGCTGCCGCATAAGCCTTGACACTTTGTCCTGTTTTGATGCTTGTTGCCGACGAAGTTGCTATAATTACAAACAGAAAACCATAACATTAACTATTTTATGTATATTTTTGTGAAAAATGCATTGCCAAAAATTCGTAATGGAACTTTTGTGTCATGTGACAATGATTGCATACACATGTATGGAAAAAGTGTGCTGTCCATGAGCATGACCTATCAAAAGCCCAAGGAGGGGAGGGCGTACTCCCTACAATGGCCTATACGGGGAGGGTAGCCCAAATGGGTACCTTTTTCAGGCTTTATAAAGTATATGAAAGGGTACAGGAGTTTAACTTGTTGAAGTATAATTATGAAAGGGTACTGGGAAATCTGTCACTGTGGTCTGTGAAAGGACCTTAAACGGGTTACATTTTCTGGCTGTGAAAAAGACAAGAAAACTTTCTTGTTAGTGATTCTGGGGTTTTATTAAGAATTGCAGTAGCAGGAGAATAGTGTACAGTAACAGGAGAATATTTTGAAAGAGCGAAGCCCTCTCCTGGAAAGAGCTTGAAAATGAGCCTGGAAATTTTGCGATTTATTACCCTTCTGAGATAGCTTTTCCTACTGTCTGATAGCAAATTTTATTTCTCATAGCTGCTGAACAAAAACACTGCATACCTCTTCATTTTTTCAACTTCTAATTAACAGGCTTGTTAAATTATGATCGACTTCTAACCCTGTTACACACTCCTAGAGTTGTGACATGAGGCTCTATCTTATTAAAATACCAAATATACCAAAGAGTGAAAATAAAATAATTTTCAATACGCTTTAACTTCAATTCAATATTTTTAGCACTTTTTTAATAGTGAAAGCACTAGACGTGAGAAGATTTTCCCGCCTCTGTCGGTGACACATGTGCTTGCGCTAGACGGAACACATGATCTCTCCTCCATAAAGGCCTCTTTGTGATGGAAAGCGGGAATTAAGAGAGAAGAGAGGCGCCCACCTTTTCCCTCTTCCCATTGTTCCCTGCATACTTTCTATTTTATTATTCTCTGATCTCTGATGCTGAATGAAACCCCCTGGTGATTTATGCGTATTTTAAAGGTGGTGCATTTACAGCAGTTAAAAGGGATGCAGTGTTCTAAACTACACTGTAGTATGTAAAAGGGGTACCATTTGTCATAAAAGGAAACAAAAGGGGTACTTTTTCTGTCAAAAATGGTATAATTTATAAAAGGGTACGGGATTGGACCTCAGGACAGAACTTCCCTGTACAAAACAATAATGCAATTGCCTGGTTTTCGTTGATGTCTGCATTTCCCAGAATAATGTCTGACATAAATAGAAACAAGTTTTTAACTGAAACTTGCCTCATTGTATAATATAATTTATGTTGCAGTTAATTTTTTTTATTTAAGTTAATCAGCGTGCAAAGAAAGTCGTGTCCGATAGCCCGGGGCTAGTGGATTTTGCTATCGGGCCAGTGGTTTTTGTTCTTTATAACTTGCCCAATGGGCAAGTGCTGTTTTGGGGGGAAATTCAAATAACAGAAGGATTGTAATCATTCCTGCTAATCAAAAAAGGGTTTGGGGGCTAGTTGAAATGACTTGTGAGCTAGTACATGCTAGCTACAGCTTGCCCTAATGGCAGGCTGTAAAACTGACTTTCTTTGCACCCTGTTAATTTTTGTTTTTCTTTTGTTTTAAATTCATTAGCATACATTACCATACCCAAAAACAAGGGAGAAATAAAAATTAACTGCAATAGAAAATTAACTACATGTACAACATAATTTTCTTGCAATTTCGTGGCTTATACTACTACATGAGAAATTTCTGCAATTTGATTGGTTTAGAGCAGTGGTATTTCAGCTTAATTTGAAATACCTACATGTGAAAATTACAAACCTTTTGCGGGTAGTAGTATAAACAAATAATAGCATGATTTGTACGTGATATTTGGCATAAATACCACTCGTGATATTTCAGAATTGTCTCAAATTTCACTCGCCTAACGGCTCGTGAAATTACGTATAACAATTTTGAAATATCACTCGTGGTATTTATTCCAAATATCACTACAAATCATGCTATTACCTATACAAATAATGAACATAATTATCAAAATTAATGTTGAATAATCATTGACCAGGGCTGACAGAAAGTTTTGAAGTAGACGGCTAAGTTGTCAAAGCAAGCGGCCAGTCCAGGGATATTTTATTTAAAAGTCGCTAACCAAGTAGGCGGCAATTTTTGCCAGCAGCCGGCTACTTTTGACAACCCTGCATTGACTATAAAGTTTGCTAATAAAGTGTGGATTACAAAGTTGCCTGGCGCGAAATGAAGGTTCTAAGTACATTGTAGATGTATATAAAGTATTAACTAAAGCTACTGTAAGTATTGGAACAAATGGGGCATCCAATTAGAAATACATACAACGGTAGATTACCTCTAACTTAGCTGTCATGTTTCTGAGTTCATCTTTCAGGCTGATATTTTTATCTCGGAGCTCTTCAAGCTTGGCAGTCTCATCACTGACAGGAATATGCAAAAAAAGGTTAGGGGTACTTCATACTAGTATTTCTAATAAGCAAAGTAAAGTAAAACTTTATTTACACAGGGTAGCCCATAAAGCTCTAAGGCTGGTCTCTGTAGGGGCCCTGTATCTGTATTACATTTAAAAGTCTAATAAAAATACATTAATAGAATTTAAGAACTACATTAAACAGCCTAAAAATACAATGCAAAATCACCTTTAAAGCCTAAAATGTGTTTAATAAAATATCAAAGTTATGATAAAAAGAAATGTCTTGCTTGGCGGCAGAATGTTTGAAGGTTTTCACTCTTCACAATGTTTAAAGGGAGTTTGTTAAAAATTTTTGTGCCAGTAAAGAGAAAGGTCCTTTTCTCAAAATTCTGCTTAACGTCTGGTAGGGATAGCCTCATTCTTTGCCTTGTGGAATAATAAATTGTGAATGTTCGAAAATTTAGTAAAAGGCACTATGAGGCACTGAGGCACAGTGACTATCTGGTTTATCTCTATTCCTGAGGTTATAGGACAGTGATTTAATTACCGCAATCTTTCCATGTCTTGTCTTATTCCTGAAATTGTCTTCAATGCTGTTTGACTATCCTGTCAAATGCAAAAAAGTAAAAATATGGCAATTAATGAAGACATTGAGGGTTGGTGAGAAACAATGTGGAGACTCTTAGGTGTCAGCCTAGTACCTGTACGGCATCTTTTCAGGCCTTCAAGGCTGTACTCTAGGGAAAACTGAAGAGAGCCCAGAATCCAGGCTATCCCCCAGCATGATTTCTAAGAGAAATCTAAGATTTTCTAGTTGCCTAGGAGCAAAAGTTAGGTGCAAGGGGCCAATGGGCACTGCATGCTAGAGTACAGCCTTGGCCTTCTATTAGTGTGAGGACCTGGTATGAGTGTGAGGAGTGAAAAATGGGTGGGGCACTGGGGATACAAGTTGCTAGCAAGCTCCCCATTTCAAAATTGTGAGAGTGGAAGGTTATGCATGAAAATACCATTGCTGAAAAAAAAAATAACGGTAACTGTGACATCATATTATCAAAAAATTATGAGATTGATGACAGCCTGACTGGTATACCAAAACGCAAAAGAAACTGAAACAAAGTAGTAAGAAAATAAATACTACAGTAGCAATACTCTTAGGTGCTTTATTTCACAGAAACTGGTTTAATGCTAAAGAGCAAGCCTTGTGGGCTTGACTTTAATAATTATTTATGTTCATCTTGATTGTCACTGTTACTTCTGTTGTACAGTCATATAATAGTCTATGCACCTCAGAGAATTGCAGGCTGCTCTCCTCTTGAGCACATATTTCCTGCAGCCTAGCACTTCTCTCATCTCTGGCTTCCTTAACGGACTGCACTGCACTTGTCAAACGGGCCAATTCCTAAAACAAGAAAAAGAAATCAGAATGCAACTGTTTAGTTACTACATTGTAGTTCTGGTAGCAATCACACAAACTACTCTTTTATGGGTTGGCCTCAGCAGCATGTGCTATCAGTTGGTTACATTGACGTCACGTGACATCTAACAAATAAATAATATTGTACGAAAAGCAGGCAACATAAAAATCTATGATGTCAGAGGGTAACAATTCACGGTTACCTGTGAATGTTGTCATTAATTTTGTTGAATTCATAAATTAAAGCAGCAGGTATTTTTAGAGTCCTTATTTTACAACAGTAGCTCGAAGTACATGTAGTCATCTGATTTACAAACCTGAGGCCGACAGTGCGCTCATTTTGCTCCCCCCAGGCTCTCTTTGGACATCAGTGTTCCGTTTTTTGTGTATTTAAAGCTACTTTAATAAATGTCTGTTTTTACACTGAAAAGGCTTTTTTTTGCTGACACCAATCACTTAACAACTGGTCCCTGAATCTTAAGCAATGTCAGGTCCAAACAAAATACACAAGTTTACTGTTCTACTCATCGGGATCAGTCATTAAGTTGAAAATTTTTTTTGCTTGCAGTTGTCAGCACCATTTTTGAAATCTCTGACCAGTTTGCTTCATTCTAACGTACCCCTTTAAATCTTGCAGGTGAATTTACAATCTTGGACTTAAAAATTTCACAGTCTTGCTTCAGTCCAGCTAAATTCACTTTTATCTCAGCCTGATGAAAACAAAAAAAAAACAACAACATTATTGTCATGAATGATATTATTTATCATTGCGGTATTCGTACATTTTAGGGTTTATTTATCTTTTGTCTCACAATAGTCACTTAGTTGTTGATCACAACATTTCAACAACGTATTGCAGGTCTGTAAGTGTTTGATTTATAGATTGGGACTATTTTTACGGTGGTTGCTAGTGACTGACCCATCATGGTTGGTGGGTTTGAATTCGAGGCACTGTTGTACACTGTTCACTCAGGGGTTTAAGTACAGGCCACGGGAATTGCAGCATTCGCATGTGACCAGTGTAAATTGCGTACAATAATGGTGAATTCGCATGCAGAAAACACGTGTGCAAAATTTTACATGTCAAACAGTAATAGTTTGTTACAAATTGAAGTCAAAATAATCAAAGTGCACGTGACGTACATCATGTCCAGCTTGAAAACATTTGAACAAACAGTGAATCATTTTAGTTTAGTTTCAATGCTGCAACAAAGAGCTTTGGGAAATTTTAAAAGACGAGTAAATGATTAAACTGTACAAATATCTAACCTCAACTAAGTCAGAAACCTAATCAACGGTAATTTTGCAGCTGGCCTGGTGAGAGAAAAGATCATACTGATTTTTTCCCAAAATAAGACCAACATTCAAAGTACAGTTTGAGGGCAAGAGATCGTCGTTCATCACTTCACAGATTTCAGCCAAAGATGAAAGTTGTTAATTACACGCAATCTATGAGTAAAACTTTACACACAGTTTCCAAAAAATTTGCTTGTATTTTCTCGTGTATTTTTGCATGTATTTTTTTACACATGCATGTATTTCTCATATAATTTGCATGCAATATGGCAGATTATTAATTTACATGCAAGAGACACGCGTGTATAAATGCTGCAATTCCTGTAGCCTGTACACTAGCCTAATTTATATATAAATCAGAAAAACAGTAAATTTTGAGACTGAAAAAAAATAAATTCACCTTTTTTGAACTGAGTTCTGCATTGCAAGTCTTGAGTTGCTGAATTTCTTTCATTTCTGCAGCCTATAAAAGAAGAACACAAAAGCAGTTGAAAACAATTACATGAACAAATTAGTACATTAATCTTTTGGTAATTACTTTTTTGTTAATTATTGTAACGTAAGACTTTTTTTCTAGCAATAAAGCCAGAAATCTAAATTTGCAAAATTTGCCGGGCAGAGGAAATGGAATTGGTAGCCCCATCCCTCTTCTATGGATGGTACTCTTTGAGCTGTCACATCATGAAACTGTCTTTTATGGTATTTCTTGGGAATGGTGTACTTGCCTGTTGTTTGTTTAGCTCGCTCACATCTTGTTCCAGCTCTTGAACTTCTTCTTCAAGCTGTTGAGGCAAATGCAATTGCGAGGAATTCACTCAGAAGAAACAAAATAATTATGGTATGGTGGATAAAGCACTTACACTGGTATAGGTCACTTTTAAACTTGTGAGAAAGTGTGAAGAAATTTTGTTTTTTGTCATACTGAACATTTTTACCTTTTTCACTTGCTGTTCTTCTTCTGCTCTTTTTGCTCTGGATAAAAAAAATAAGTACAATTATTATTATACAGTGTACTAACAAACAGGGCATAAAACTTTTATATTAATTTTTGTAGATCTGAAGTTGGATGATCCACATGAAGGCTGTGGTTTGAATGTATACTTCAGTGGGGTGGGGGGAGGTGTGCATAAAACCAACCCTTGAGGGATCCTGTGAAATGATACGACACACCTTTATTGTAAATTGTGCAATTTGACTTAAAATTACAGAAGTAAAACCACAGTTCGCAAGGCCAAAGGTCACCATGGATTGGTATCAGAGGTCAGAATAGGAACACCAAGATCATACATGTTAAGTTTTATTTGTCTGAGGTTATATGCCAACATTTGCATTTGAAATTGAAGTCTTCTGAAATGGCTAGAAATGGATCTAAAACTGCCAAAAGTGAAGTTAATTTTTAATTCTTATAAAACAAAGAGTAACAAACTGGCCTTCACGTTTGACCAAATTTAAATGAATAGACTAACTTCTAAGCTAAACCCAACAGACGCAACGGATGAGTGTCACCTGGACATTTTTAAGTCGGATTGTTTGAAGGTGCCAAAGTTGCTTTTTCGATTTTCATTGAGAGCTGCAAACTCATTGGCAACATCTATAAGACAAAGTTTGTCTGTTCTCTGCTTGTGGGTATTAAGTATTGTCAGATTGCTAAATCTTGTTTGTGTCATCGTCGAGTGTAGCCACGTTTTCAGTCTCCGAGCAGAAGAAAAGATCTCTCGCCTGCTGCACTGGTTGCTGGATTTACAAGAAGAAGTTTACATAGGGCTATGATTTCAGTTATCATACACTTTTCGGCTTCAGAAAGCTGCTTGATCTTGGCTAAAATGTCATCAAAACAGGTAAATTCTCCGTCCTTCATCAACACCTTAAATATTTCCAGTTGAACATTCAATGTTCTAACATCAACAGCCAAAAAAGTGGGGGGGGGGGCTAATATAAAGCCCCCCCAGCCCCACCCCCTGCACGGTCCCTGATCAGAGCAAGTTGCTTCCTCAGAGATGCAGTGTAACCAGGGGTGAGCGGTAACAGTGAACCAGATACATCTGGGGGCTGATGCTCCACGATACTCCCCTGAGGAAAAAGTTGAAATCTAGCAGCTCAGAGAAGCTGTATTCTGGGCATCAAAAAGAGCACTCAGTTTCTGATTACATGTATGTCAAGTCATTGTTGATGTTGTGCTTTAACAAATCTTAAAGATCTTAACAGATGGCCATAAGAAGAAAAAAACACCGCCTCTCGGTTCAGGACATAAAAATGCATATTAATATTAATAACCAAAAGGATGATAAATTATTCAGCTTACTTGAGCTCTAATATTTCTCTCTGAAGTTGTTGATTTTTGGCAAGTATGAGTTCTCGTTGTTGAACAGCTGCTTCCTAAAATGAAGAAATTGTTTACCAATTTACAAGGGTGAAAAATAATTTTCGGTGTCTTAGAAAATAATACTGCATGTAACAGTAAATAGCCAGGTATGCAATAAAACGGTACACAAACCCATGAAATCTTAACGGTGAGCGACAGACTGTGTAAGCCTGTTTAATTCTAATATCATGCCCTGTAAACAGATCTCACTGTGGTGTTGCAGTGAGCACTGTGGTACCTATGGGTACTGAGGACACTAGTGAGAAAGGGTCCAGCTGGTGCCAGTGGCGGGATCTGGGGTAGTGCCAGGATACTCTGCGGTTAGGCTTGGTTGAGAAGAAGGTGTTTAGTTGGTTACACAGAGGTTGTGGTAAGAGCATAGTTCCAACAGCCTCTGCCCATTCTCATTCAACCTGCCGACACCAAAGTGGCAGATGCTGCAGGGCCAAGAGTCGTGGTCAGCTTCTCTTGCCAAAAGAACGTGTAGTCTTGTTCTCGGAGGCTATCGTCTGATTAAAGTCTGGTGGCCTCCAGTGCAGCGATGTCAATGTTGAGCCGCTTGAGCTCACGGTTGATGATGGTGATTTTCCTGGAGTCATCAACCTGACTTAGATCATCGGAGAGGCCAGGACACATGGTCCTGACATTCCAGCTTGCTAGTGAGGAACAAGATTAGTTGTTTCTTCATTCTTTGACACTTGCCCGGTGCAAGATTTACAGTCTGCTCGTCAGACATTCCTCTGAGCTATAAGCACCCATCGAAGCAGGCAGATGGTGGCGATCAGCACCTTACTGGCTGGGGGCAGCTTGAGGCGGGCAGTAAGTGACTAGTGGGGTGCAATGATCCCTCCCACTGTTGGAGGCAATCCGCAGCGCCTGGAACTATGTCATTTGGTCTGGGCTCATAACTCGTAACTGCTGCCTCCCGTGTTGGTTCTGATGCTGTGAACAGCAGCACTGAAGAGCACACAAGCCTGAACGGTGTATATTATAGAAATCCTTGGGTGCACAGTTGTCAGGAACCCCCCTCTCGGCATCACTGATGTAGTTCAAAAGAGAGTATACTTGGCACCAGCTACATGTACAATGTAGACTGCGGGAGCTGCTGAAGAAAGTGCCAAGAAAATACAGTTGCAAGTAAAATAGGTAATGGCGTCATTTTGTTGCTGTGGCAACTCCGATGTCATTGTAAACCCTGATCATAACAAATTTTCATGCTTATCTAATGCAGTTGTGGTGGTAATGTTTCCAAATCTTTGTAAATGGCAATGTACAATGTAGCGTGGGAGGTATTGACCCTGAAAAACCCTATTGAGCCACCTTAAATGATGGCATTTAGCCACCTCTTACAAGCCTAACATAAGCAAAAGGAAGCGAAGCAAACAAAATTTACTTACCACTTCAGCCATTGTATTTTCATAAATATGCTCTCTTGAGCCCCTGAATTTTGTGAAGTTGACAATAGCACTACAGAAAAATTGACAATTATCAGCTATGTGGGAACAGTCAAACCCTATTTGAATACGAACACTGAGGTAGCCATAGAAAGTGTCTGCATTAACACTGAGTCTGTATTTAGCAGGAACAAGACCATCCAGAGGAAATGTAAGGGCTTCCTTTCTCCAGGGACAAAGAAAACTGTCCTTAATAATGAGGTGTCCATATACTGGGGTTTGACTGTAAACTAATGCAGGTTTTATCTATGCTATTTATTAACAAGCTATTAATTACCCTTAGGAGTTCCTGTTATCGCGCTTATTCCATCTCATTCAATTTGTCTAAAGACTGTG